CGGAACAAGGTGGATTTCGACGTGGACGGATGACGCCTTGGCGCGTTTAAAAGTTTCCTCCTCGTTAAGACGTATTCCCCGGGGTCGTCGTTGGCAGGACCTAACGAGAGAGCGTCGCTGTGTTCCACGCTGTTGTGTCTCCTTCTCTCTTTTTCGCTCTCTGCACACTTTCTGCTTGTGTTCTTTCTCTCTCTCTCTCTCTCTCTCTCTCTCTCTCTCTCTCTCTTTCTCTCTCTCTCTCTTTCCCACTGTTAAAAACACATTTATTAACGGCAGCTCGGCTCATCCCGCCGCTAAGTACCGGTAAGAGAGTACCATCCCTGTTGCTTTTCCTCTCACCGAGAGCCTTCATTCACTTTGGGTAGCTGTCTGCCGTCCCATTCGAAGCGGAGAAAAAAAGACGTCGCATTGTCGACGCCTTATTAATCCGAAGGCGAGGGTGAGAAGAGAGGAGCAGGGGGTGCGACGGAGACGTCTGCGGGAGTCGGCGAGCGAGGATGCTGAAGGTGTCGCGGGGAAGAAGGGTCCTTTGAAGAAATTAAAAGAACAGAGGGTATAATGTGAACACATCCATTCCCCTCCGACCCGGTCGCTCGCCTCTCCGCCCTTCTCTCTCTCGCTCGCTCGCTCGCTCGCTCTCCTTCTCTCGGCTTCGTGCGGGAGCAGGGCGCATTAACATCGCCGTGCTGCGAGGTCTCGCTAAGCGCCAGTCAGATAGACATCTCAAGCCTTGTCACGGTTTCTTAAAATCCGACTTATATTTCGAGCTTTTCCCCCTTGACCTATCCTCGGAATATTTTCCCTCGCTTTCACGGGGACACCTCCACCCTTTTCTTCACCTTTAACGCGCGTCCGGAAAGCGGTAAAACGCCGCGAACAATCGTTCGCTAATCTCAGCGATGAAACTCTCCCGTCCGCTTAGCGAGAGGTAATTTCACTCGCGCGCGAGACATCGGAGAAAAACAAATGAAAAATATCGAGCGATTAAGCGGAAATGCGAGTGAAATAAACAACGATTCGCAAGCTCGCACGGAAAATCATGTTGTCGTGTGAACCGATCAGATTGCACCCCCTTGTCGTTATCGTCGTCCCGGCAAGACGTGTCCGCGTATTTTCACGGTACACACATGAAACGTTTGCGTTCTACTCTCGAGTCCGCGGCTCCGTTTGAGCGGCGGCATTTTCGTATCAATTCACAGCCGGCGATACGATGCGTGCGCGCGCGGAGCCGAAAAGAGACGTACGGCCATTTCGCGTTGAGAAGCGGTCGTCGTAATGTAAGGCATCTGCGTAAGGATGGCAAACGAGCACGTTAGCCGAATAATGCAAAGCAAACCCGAGCTGAGATATAGTCCGGCATTTGTTCATATTAAGGCGCTGTCAGGGCTCGCAATGTTCGCGTGTCGCGCTCCTCACCTCCCCCATTCTATCCGGCGACATTTCGGCCGCGTGCCTGCGTGTGTTTTGAAATTATATAACGCGAGAACGCCCGACGTCGTTAGTCAACTCGCGCCGCATCTCGCTGTTAACTATGTGTATCTTGAGCAGCCGTTACGTCGCAATTTGTCAGGGCCGCTCCGCGGCGCGCAATTCCGCGCGTTAAGTTGCGCTCCCGGCGCGATATTTCGGCCGGCCGTGACAAGTCGCGTCCGGGATTTGTCTCGGACCGATGTTTGTGCTGAACAAACAATGAATGAATATACGCCCGCGACACGGGCAGCCGCGGGAGGCCGCGAGGAGGTTGCGATCTGCCTTTTCCGAACAGCGAGAAATATCGACGACGACGACGACGGCGGCGGCTGTAAATTATACGCATTTCCTCGGCAAGTCATGTTTGAACGCGTTAAGGAGAGACCACGAACGGGGCGGCGAATCACGTCGTCGCAGATGCGATCTGCGAGTCGCCCGGCTGATCTTAAAATCGTTCAATTCAACGAGAGAAGCGGGATTCAGACTCGTCGTCTGGCAGGCAGACTTTGATCATAAGTGACACGCGTGACTTTACGGTAAACCTAAGTTCTAAACTAATAAGGCAACACCACGGTGTGGCACGATCGGGAGGCGGCGGAGGAGCAGAGACGCCGATGGCAGCAGAAGGGTCCAAGTTTCATGGAGCTGCGAACCGGGTCACCGATTACGACACTGATCGTCTGCGAGAGACAACTAAATTGGATAAGTTGAAGGAGCGGAGTCTTCTTCGTCGCCTATGAGCCCCGTTAAATTCCCACACATCCAAACCGAGTATCTTTATCTTTGATTTCTATTCGCGTATCTCGGAAGGATACCGCCATCAAGCGGAAAAACTCGTTCGTGTGCGTAAAATGTGCTGAGCTTTCCGAACGAAATCCTTCTTGAACGCTTAAGGAAGCAGCTCGATTAATTAATATAAATTTCTTTTATTCTCAGCGACAATAATTTCTTCGCGTGAACTACGTTCAGATTGAAGTCGAACCATGTTGTTCCTCTAATTAGCCACCGATGTATCTTTCGTCTTCACATGAAGTGACACCTTCAGCACTTTCATCTCCCTCCAAGGATCGTCCCCTTTTCCACTTTACATCGCTATGGCGTGTCCGATTTTTTATCCGCTCATGGAAGGAGAGCGTATTTCGCACTTAAGATCGACATTACCGAGAAAGAATTATCTCCCCGACAGAGCATTGTTTCCCGGTTGGAGTTTCCGCGTCGAAAGAGGCCGAGGAGCGCCTAGGTGGTTGGCGTCGGGTGTAAATTTGCATTGAACGAAATGAGGCGCTATGGGGCATTCCAGTCCGAAGTTAATAGCTTCCCAACGATTAACTGTATCTCTCCAACCACCTACCATCCGTACTCAACCCTCTTCCTCTCACCCACCCTCTCTCGTCCCCTCATGCTGTCTCTCTCTCTCTCTCTCTCTCCTCTCTGTTCACCCGCAGCTCGCTCGCTCACCCTCTCCCTCACAACCTCGTCCTCTTCCTCTCTCATCCGCCACACACGTCCTTCTTGCTCCTCGTCGCACGCGCCACGTCCTAGCTACCTATATCGCCCCTCCTAATAATGTATGTCCCAAAGGTCGCGAAATAACTGACTTCGTCGCTCGACGACCGACGAGTACCGCAGCCACCGTCATCTGATCGAGTCACCGGTTCGCTGAAGTAGACTTGACGAAAAATCACGAGGAGCGCGATGTCCTCGTGGAAGAGGCTCGACCGCTGCTCGTTCGCAACTTGATCGCGGCCTCCGTCGGGCTGACGGATCATCGACGGCACGCCGGCCTCAGAAGGGCCAACGCCACTGCGGCAGCCAATAGTTTCCAGGCGTGTGAAGGCGCCACGGGGGTTATAGGGCATAATTTAGTGGACAGTTTGATATACAAACAATCTTTAATGAAATTCTTGGTGTTCATTAATAACGCATTACAGCCTCGCGCGCCGGTGTGTCGGCATCGGTACCCGGGAATCCCGTTCTCTCTCTCTCTCTCTCTCTCTCTCTCTCTCTCTCTCTCTCTCTCTCTCTCTCTCACTCTTCTCACTCCTCTCCTCTCGCTCGCTCTCCGCCTCCTCCTCCTCCTCCTTCTCCACCCCTTTTATACCCTACCACTTTCCTACTCATACTCCGCTGCCGCCGCTTCCGCGCGTACCATCGTCCGACACCCTTTATCGCCCTGGCTTTCAACCGACCCTCGCTCTTTCCACCATCGGAACGTCCTCGATGAATCACCGCGTGAATATGTTACGCATTGCCGCGACGGCCGTGTTCGATTTCTGATTCGATCGTGCGATCGAGGCTCGACGTTACGTTTTCTCCTTTATTTCTCTTCGTTTGATTCGGCGAGCGTATCGTATTGATTAAAAGCGCTTTATCCTCCGCGCGAGACAAAGTAAAACTGCCGAGGAAGAACACCGGCGAAAGAAAACTTCGTGTCTTGATCACGATAAGTTGTAGGAAAAAGATGGAGTTCTGCCCGGGAACGTATTTTTTATATACATACATCAAAATATTCTCCCCGTCGCATCTCATTAAAGCGAGCTTTCGTTTTGCCTCACAAAAAGCTCGCGACGTACCTTGGGCGAATTTATTTCGTTCCTCGGCCCGGCTGCGCGTTCTCGCGGGGGCACAAGTCGAACGAGAGACACGACACTCGATATATCGAGACGGAGAAGTCTCCCCGTCGCGTGGAGACCCGGGAAAGAGGCAGCCTCTGGGTAGAAGAAAAAAAGTAATTGCCCCTTGATACACGCCGATACCCCTCCTGCGGGAATGCCGCCGCCTCGTAATGATGTTCGCGTTGGCGAACTTAGTTCGAAATTAAATATCGGGGCAAGGAGGTGGAACGGCAGCGGAGGGGAGCGTCTCAAGAAGGAATCGGGAGGTCGCGAAGGAGGAAGGGAACGACGTTGCGCACCTGCCTTTTTCCCGGGGCTGCATGATAAAAATCAAACTGGAAAACAAACGAGAAGCGGGATCGTATTATAAAGTTTTTTAATCGATAGACGATGCGCGTCTCTGGAGTGGAGGGGGTGAGGGTGAAAAAAGCAGTGGGACGGGGAGATATCTCGCGGCTGGGTAGATAGACGGGGCTGGAAAAAGAGGGAGAGAGAGAACGTAGAGCAAAAGGGGGAGAAAAAGGGAGAGAAAGAGAGAGGGAGGGGGGGGCCAAAGAGGAAACGACGCGATCGAGCGAGGAATCCTGCGGCGTGCTTACTGGCTCGTGTAATAATGAATTTATACCTTGCGCGCGAGAACGCTTTCGGAAGTGACGACGTGCCACTTTTCTTTCTCGCCTCGGCTGCCTTTTTAGAATTTTACCTAATGAAAAGATCCCGTCTCACACCCTCGAAGATCCTCACCTCGCGGATTCGCGGGTACTCGTCTGTCGAGCAACGGCGATCGCGATTCCGGCGGCGGTAAAAGAGTACACACACACACTCCATTTTTGTATGTGCGATATATGAGCGGATTAATATTCGTGGAAGGTAATACGACGACTGATTGTGTTTTTCCGTTCGTCTCGTTCACAGTCTCTACAACCGACGGACCCGCCGATCTTCGACATCACCAATGTGCTGATAAACGAGACAGTGACGCAGCTGGCGTTATGGGGCAGCTTGGGTATCTCTCTCGTGGAGCTGCCGAAACGATGGGGCAAGGACACTGTTTTCGAAGGCGGCAAGGACACGATCCTCTGCACGTAAGTACGCATCCTGCTCAGGAAGCTTCTGTTAAAAATCACGCTCTCCTTGCGAGCGTATTTTATGCGCATATATAAATACGAAACTCGATAAGAGGGAGGCTCACGCATGATATATTAAATTATAATATACATAACTCAAATATATTAATATTTAAATGCCTGTAAAAAGGATAGTGTCCGTGAATGTACGACTTACATTCCTCTAAAACTACACGGAGAAAAATATCCGAAATATCCGATTGTTAATTTTGTTATCCGATCAAATATCCGATCAAATACCGGATATTTGATCGGATAACGAAATTAACAATCGGATATTTCGGATATTTTTCTCGGTGTAGCTTTGCTATACCGGAAATTTGCGGATAATATTTTTGCGGAATATATAGAATAAGAAAAATAGACTAATCATTAATAACGATTTTGTTGATAAATTCGCGTAAATCCAACCAATGAACAATAGCGACAATATCGGAGCGACTGACGTCGATTCGACGTCCGAAATCAGCACCTACGAGCAACATCTTGACGGATCCGCGGTCCGGAAAGAAGCGCGTACTGGCGCAATCCGACTCGTAAAAACGGAGATAAGGTTAGCGGCGGTTAGATAATAAATCGCGCTATCTGCCTTTCCCGCCGCCGACGCCGCCGCTACCGCTACCGCCACCGCGTCTCCCGTAGGCGTCCTAATATCCTGTAATTAAGAGGGTGTTACGGTGACGCCCGGGAAACCCCTTCGGCCTCCCTCTTATGGAATTAAGGTGGCTTTACTCGGTTAGTTTTCAAAAGTTCCGGGGGGTCAGGAAGCACCGCTGAATACTAACCGCCTCATCAACGACACATGCCACCCGAGACTACTGTCTCGCGTAACATTACCCGGTGGTGTGCCATCGCCACCCCCGGCTCGCGTCCCGGCCCCCGGCCGTAATCTTTCGGGCGATTAGAACGTCGCGCAATTACGAGCGCCGTTGGAGATTACGCGCGCGTCCACGCTGAGCCGTGGTGCAGTCGATCGTCGTCAATCGGGACACCTCCAAAGGCGGCCTTCGTATTCATCCCCCCCCGACCTTCATCTTTCCGGATAATCCTCTCAAGGGTGAAGCTACGAATTTGAAATCAATTAACGTTTGGATGAAGGCGATTATGTTATACATCGCAGTCTGTCACATTCTGGAAAAACCAACGAGTGATATTTGCGGGAGCTCAGAAGAGCTCAAAGATAAGGAAACTGTATAAACAGAATGACGTCGGTTTATGTTCCTACTTGTAAAGGATAAGTGTGTGATATTCTTAAAAGAAAAATCCTCCTGGAATGAATATCGTGGTATAATCGTATATCGTGACGTAACGGAATTTACGAAATATTCGTGTCGCGGCGATGAAGGTGGGTATATGACGCGAAGCTATAAAAAACTAATTAAATTTTTAAAAATAAGAAATTCTAACTTTCGATTTATATTGAATATGTCGGAAAATCGTACAATTGAGTTTAATGAATTTTAACGAAATTTATTTTGCTGAATTGGAAAGGACGAATTATCAAATTTGTATCATCCGATTGCAGACTCGTCATAAATGATGTGCGTCATAGATCATGATTAAAGTTTGACGCAATTTTCACCGAAATTTGATCCGCTTCGTTGGATATGAAATTTTAAATATATATTATATTTTTTTTATTTCTTTCCTTATTTATTGACCTCTTATTTAGAATCAACGATACCCGTAGAAAAAAAAGTGTTATAAACATCGGACGAATTTGGTTCGCCACTTTGGCTCACCATTTCAAATTAAAAAAGTTTCCAATTCCTGACTTTGGGTTTGAAACTAAGGCAGCAAAAATCCTTAGGAGATCAATTTCCCGGAAAAGTCGTTATACCAAAAAATGTATGCTTTAAAGGGTTAAATCGTTCTCCGCATTATAATTTCATAATAAGCTGAATTCAGAATAAATGCAGGTACCTTTCCTGACTTCCTGCTAATTCGTAATTCCGAACTTTTTCCGGAAGCGAACGAACCGAGCTCGCTCTTCGAGAGCAAAAGGGCAAGGGAAAAGAGGAAAAGAGAGAAAAGAGGGAGAAACAGAGCGAGAAAAAGAGAGAAGCATAGGAGAGAAAGAGAAGGAGAAAAGAGGTGGATACCAGCGACCGCCGCTAAACAAACTGGCCAAATTAAGAGCGGCAGTTTGCGCTAAAGTTTTTTCGTCGTTTCACTTAGGCGATTTTACCCGGCCCCCGGGTTCGAGCGAATTTATTAAGAACGCACGTAGCGCATTATGCGCGCACACCGCGCGCAAGATCGCGCAGGAACAGTTCCTAAGTGAGTCGCGGCCATTAGAACGAATCTCGGGGATTTAATGTCTCTGCCGCCTCTGCCAGCCGGCTTAAATAAGGCTAAATGAAGTTTATGCGTTATTGCCGACGGAACTTCCGGTAGACGCGACGGTGCGTCCTCACCGAGAGCTGAAACTCTCCGACCGCGCTATCATCTTGTGCTTTCAACTCGCAGCCAAACGCATCACACGCAGCCGGGAAATCAATCGGAACGAATCAAAAGCGAAAGAAAGATTTCTCGACGTAACAGTTGTAAGCGGCCACAACTTTCATTGAAGATCGCTCGCGTTACAAGCGTTCAAGATATAATTCATGAAATTCACTTTCGACGTTGCGTCAATCAGCGACATCCTCCACTCGCATTCCGCTCTATTTGTGGGAGCCCGGACATTATCCGGGACTGTAACCCGCGCGATCGCGGTGGTTGTAAATCGGTAATCGCTCAGGAAATTCAGCAGGCGACCGATGTCGAGCAGCTGACGTGACGGAGCCTCCTCGTCCAGCCGAGTCGCCGAGTTCACAGACTGACTCGGTACTCGCGCGCATCTCGGAACGTCAGGAGGAATAATGAAAGCGGTTAAAAATGCAGAGGGGGAACTTCCGATAGGATAGCTCGACGTCGTCGTCGCGCGTCCTGAAACCGAATAACAGGTCCCGCGGCTTGCTCGCCCGCGGGAGGAGGATGGGCTTCGGATTAAGCAAATGGCGGCAATAATAGTGATTATTCGGATTATGATATCAGAGCGCGAAGTGGGTTCGCTCAGACTTACCGGCAGCCACTAACTGCCGCGCCGCCAAATCCTGACTTCAAGACACCGGATTAAAACTATTACCACTTCGTGGCACCCCTTCGGTCTCACCCCGCCTCGCCGCATGCCGCCCCTCGACGGACCGCGCGCCTCGCACACCTTCGCGGCAGGTTCTTTCACCCCCTTCTCGGCTGTTTTAAACGGCCCCGAAGGTCGCGCGGTCTGGCACAGGCTCGTTTTCGCGGAATAGCCTGTCGCTATCATAAACCTTCGAGATTGTCAGACGATTATCCAGTATGACATAAATTTCAAAGTTGCTAATTCACTACGCTTCCCGAGACCTCTCTCTCTCTCTCTACTCAATTAGAGTGGCCCGATAACGCGACAGCGCGAGTAAGGCAGTCGCTTTTTCGCAAGAAGCTTCGAGTTCTCGGAGATGGTGGTGCTCTCCTTCCCCCCGCTCTCTCTCTCTCTCTCTCTCTCTCTCTTCCTCCATCACGCCCCATCCTGTCTCTTCTAAGAATCGTGATAGATATACTGTTACAAACGTCGTGAATAAATACGTACGGTATATAACAGCGAATAACAATAGCTCAGCCGCAATAACAGTTTGCTCACCCCCGCGAAGCAGCGGCTACACTCGGTCGCGGATAATCGCTATAGGAAGTAAGTACAATTCCTAGCGCATAATGCGGTGCCGCGATGTGGCGGGCGAATCGCGCTACACCGTCGCGAGTCCCGGTATTAATTCGACAACGAATTGCGAAAGCGGCGCCATTCCGCTCGGCGCGGGAAGATCGTCGCCTCTTGGTTGGCTCGCGCGGCTAATTATTGTTTTAAGGATTACCGTTATGTGTTTATTATGCGGCCTGGAGGACCTTATACCCTCCCTCCTCCCATCGTCGCCGCCGCCCTCTTACCTGCCTTAATATTCGGTAGATTTCAGCTTCTCCGAGAGAGAAATCTACGCCGCTTCTTCCCTCCCACTACCACCCTCCCTTCTCCCTCGCTAAAAGTCAGCCTACGTTTATGAATAATTCTCACCTCTTATAACCACCCCCTTCTTCCTGCAGCCGCCCTCCCCTAGGCCCTCCCCCTTCTTCCCCATTGCCCGCCCGCCCGCCCCCGCTATCCCATCGCAACCTTTACCCAATCCACTCGCCAGCACCGCGAGCGAGCGCGTCTCGCCGAACCACCCTCAGAGTATTCGCCTCGTAAACCCCTAATGCCGGCTCTTCATCTGCGAGCTCCCAGATTCTGAGCTCCGCGGAAGCGGCCGAGTCGCCGTAACGCCCGCAGCAGGAAGCGGAAAGTAGATAATGGACACACGCGTAATTACAGGTACGAGCGTCCCCTGACTAATGAGAAGTTCTTCGTGGCGAATGTTATTTCTTCGTCTCGCGGTGGACGTAGGATTCCGTCATCGTTGCAGATTTGCTCGTTACTCGAGTGTATCTCGAGTCGTCCAAAAATGTCGAAAGAGGCGTCTTTCCTGCCTCTCCTCCCGATGCATTTCATTATGCGTGAAAATTGCGGGAAATATCGCGGATGCGGCGAATGCGTGGAAGTCAAAACTCGTGATGGTTGCATCGCTCGGCCGGAGAAAGAAAATGCGCGTCTTTTGTGCGAAAACCGAAAGAGAAAGAGAGGTGAATACTTATTGTCACATTCAACAGTTTGGATAAATAACTTATTTAACCAAGTCTGTTTCTTTCTCGCTGCTTTTCTTGGGTTACTCTACTCCATCCCTTGTCGAAATTTGTCGAAATATCTCCCCAAGTTAAAATTTTAGTTCTATATTAATCCTGTAAATTCTGTTTGAAGAATCAATGAAGAATTTCAAGATATAACGCTATAGCTATTGACCTACTTTGATGTTACAAATAATTGTTCGATGCCACTTTTTTCTGTTGCT